CGACAGGCTGTATTATGCTAGACGCAATCGTCAGGTCAGTGTACACGTTTATATATATATATATATATATATATATATATATATATATATTAGTATGGTTAATTTTTTAATTATTTTTTTTACTTCACAATTCTCAGAAACATTCAAATATGAATTGTCCAATATCTGAGCAATTTTGAAGCGACGTTTTTAAATCGTATTAAAATTAATGTTTAGCATATTTGTTTCTAAAACTGATAATATTCATACATAGTGCGTTGTTTGAATTTTGTGTTCATTGATCTTATTATCTATCAATACTATATCTACTTTTTTACAGTTTGTGTGATATATACACATTTATACACACACACACACACTATATATATATATATATATATATATATATATATATATATATATATATATATATGCAGTAAGAATTGCTTTATTCACGTTTTATTAACTTCCACAGACAAGTCTAAGTTTAGAAAGTCAGGTTGTATAACGCAATTCTTCGGTGGAACAAATGCACTACCCATTGTATATATACTATTTTTTTACTTACAGTACATTAATAGAAACGCAATTAATCTATGTCATCCTTGTCACGACAAAGTACATTATTATTTATTTTATTATTCTGCCTTCAGGCTGAAACATAAATGTACTAAAAGGCAATCTACTCACCCATAGTTTTCTTCCTACATTAATTTCAAATTACTATTTTAGAATCATAGGGAAAAGAAAAATAATAATGGTTATTTTCTATATACGCACCTAAAATATTTTAATGAAGATAATTATGAAAAATGCAGACTGAAATCGAGACGTAGTCTTAATTAAAAATCTCTCAGATGTATGGGCGATAGGATTATCTCGGGAGAATCCTATCGCCGGTATTCATTTTAAGATTTTGAAGTTTTTCTTCTCCGCATGAGGATAAAAATCATTTTTTTAAAATTACATTTTAGTAAACTGATATGTCTGCAAAGAGTCCAACATTTTTTACGCATTGAGCAAGCGTACAAAGTCCTACCGCAAAGGCTGTGTCTACAATGGTCGAAGGGAAAACGTTAATGGTGCGTTACCCAGTTTGATTGAATGCTTCGTTGCCACCGGGTGAACTTCGGATAACTGTTCGGAATGTAATGGCTTCTGCACAGATTCTGAGCTTTTGTGCATTCTTGTGCGTCGACTGAAGAAACGATATCAGCTAAAAGTCAGTGTTTAGTCTGAGATGGTCCTGTCGTGGTAACGGAAAGGAAATGCAATGGGCCTTATCGTGGATATGCATATAGTACGAGTGGCACTTATTAAATGGGTCACTGGAAGAAACTACTTTCCTACTGACGAGGAAGGATGTATTGTTCCGCGGGCTTAAAAATATAGCATTAGATAACCAAGAAAGAGTGACCATATTAAGTAATATACCAGTAAAGTCAAAAAGTGAATTCACAAGATTAAGTCGCACGTACGGAACAGCGAAGTGGAAATGGATTTTGATGACATAAGAAATAAATTAAGCTAAAAATAATTTAGACATTAAAAGAAAAGACGATATATATATATATAAAGACATTTTTATGTTTATACATTTTTTTATAGATAGAAATATTTAAGTAAATGCTCTGTTCATAATGAACAGTATTAACAACATTTACCGGCCTAGATGTCCAAGGAATTTTCATAGAAAATATGCATCCTCCGATCGGAATCGAACCTGTATCCTACACGGAACAGGCGTGCTTTACCGGTTTATCCACAGAGGAGCGTTTCCGTTAGCAAGGCCCATTCTATATATCTATATATCTCTATATATATGCAGTAGGCATTCCTAGGAGTCTATGGGGTCTACATGGTCGGTTTGTTAATCCCTGTTACAGACGCCTGCTTAGGCACATTTATGTTTCTTAACACTGACAAAAACAACCTGTAGTTTATCATATAAATACGCTGATGATAACTTACTAACATATAATATAAGGTGATCACTAGTTTGAACAAGGCTAGTACCCTCAAGAAATCGGCAACCATTAATTGTCATGTAGGTTAACACAGACATCGACGGCTTCCGAAAATTTGTCTTCCTAATTGTACTTATAAGATTTGGTTCAATTCTACAATTGATTTTACAAGCACTTTCCAGCGATGCCAAATCCTGAGATCATCTCTTAATAACACCATGATGAGATTTGAACACTCCAAATATTCGTGGTTGGAACGGTAATTTTTTAATACACTTACTCATGCACTTATCACACACACAAGGAAGGATTTAGCATAGAAAACATTGAATAGTAAAATATGAAAGAAAATTTGTGAAATTCTTTTTAACGGATGCAAAACGTCAATTAGAAAATACAAGATATCAACAGCGAAGTTGGTGTAAATATATATGGAAGATCTCAAATGACGAACCAGAAATTTAAATTGATTTAATTATTGCTGACAAAGCCAATACCGTTGAAGATATGGCCGTTATGAAAAAAATCAGATCCGAAGTGATCAGAAAATGTTAGCCTGAAGAGAGTTAACTTTGTGTTAAAATTTCAGCGAAAAGAAATGATTCCTAAAACGAAAATAAAAAAAAGAAATTCCGGTAGAAATCCCAAGTGGATTTCAGTCTTGTTGGTATCGCGAATATTGCAGAAAATAGGAATGGTAATTTGGCAACGTTAATTAAGAAAGCAGAAGACATAAAAGGCAAAACTAACAGAAAAAAATACAATAATAATGGCGAATACTCAAAGCCAAGAGGGAAAATCAAGACGGGAAATAAAAACTCGTAGAAAAAATGAAAATGTAAAATTAAAGATAGAATAGAAAAAGGTAGATATACTTTGAAAGTGTAGTTAAAGCAATCCTAAAAGATCTTGACATGCACTTGACCCACCGCCCAAATACATAAACAGCGTATGTTCGTATTAAATTCCGAAACAGAGAAATAAATAGACAACATATAAATGCTAACCATATAATCTAATGCAAACATGTACACTTCGAAAAAAAAAACATCACGCCAGATCTTGAGAAACTAGTGCTGTTTCATAACTAACAAATCATTTTGCATTTCAATATATGATATTCTCTAAAGTAACACTCAAAAAATGCTTAGTAACAGATATTTTGAAATCTCATGCAAACTGTATGCTTTGAAAATATTAACTTTAACCAAACGGCTCTTCGTCAGATACTAGCGCAGTCAAAGAGATAACCACAGACATTATGTTTCAATATGTGATACGTGGTAAAAAACAAAAAAAGGAAAAGATGGCATAGTAACAGACATTTTGATAGTTTACGCAGATCTGTATGTTTTGAATATAAAAATTAAAAAAATGGCACTAACATTATATTCAGCAGTTAATAGTGGTATTATTTATTTGACTTTGTTACTAATATAGAATGCGACATAAGTCATTTTGTGTGGGATGCCCATACGCTTACTCTTAGGCCAAAGAGAGAAACAGTCCAATCCCGTGACACTGTGACGCTGGCGCCCGTATTACATCGAACATACATCTCTTTGTACAATGAGAAAGGTTGTATTCCCCGGGAATAGGCGTTTTCACCCATCTAAAATGAGGAGAACAAATAATATGTTTTAATCCCGGCTTGAAAGCCGAGTAGCAGATACTAATGTTGTTAATGAATTAACACAAAACTTTATCCTTTAAATTATTATACGTGGAACAACGATAGGCAAAATGACTATGTAAATGTCATTACAAATCTTTATGCTTCGAAAAGAAAAAAAAATGCTACCAACTGTGTCAACAGCAATCACTATTGATGTTAAATAATAATTTAGACATTAAAAGAAAAGACGATATATATATATATAACAATATAAGCAACAATAGATTTTTAATTGAAAATGGGATAAGCAAAATAACAACAGGCAAATGTGGCATAGAAAAAAAGCATTTTAAAATCTATGCAAAATGTATGCTTCGAAAAGGAGAATTAAATATACAAATATTATCTCCAGCAAATAATAGAGGTTTTCAAGACGTAAAACGAATTTCGCGTTCAAAACGTGATATGAGGATAAAAAACTGAAAGCTGGCAGAGTAACAGACATTTTGAAAGAGGCGAGATATGAATTTCATAATGTTTAGCACACTTTTCACTTACTAATAGTAATTCTAATTGATATCAACGCAAGCAATCATATAATTTTTCGCGCATATTTTCCTATCTCATATACATCGAAAAGTACTTTCAAATACATTAACAAACTAGGTGGATGAAAATTAATCTCACTTAAATGCAGATTTGAAGAACATCTATTTACCAGTAAGAAAATTAACAACGAAAAACTAATAAAATCCCAAATCTAAAATACAAAATGTTTGCTATTTGCTGAAAATGGGGAAAAAAAAAACAACAACATTTGTCTAAGCAAATTACAATGGTTTTTAATCCATACGAAATAAGTACATTACAGAAAATTATATAAAATATAATAAATGTTGGATGTTTTTGTTTAGCAGCATATCAATATCTATGGGTTATTTAATAATAAGATATAAATGTTTTGTCCGTACTTTAATCTTAGTTTTGGAGATAATAATTGTTTCGTGATACAAGTCTTTTTAATTAACCCATACTGGAGGAGAAAAGGTGGAGCCATATGTTTCCCAAAGGTATTTTGCTATTTTATTCAAGTAATATTTAGCCACCTCCCCACGAGGGTTACATATGGCACAAGGCCGAGTTTAACGTGAGATTTCCGAGCCCGTAGGCTCGGAGAAAAATATTCCCTCTTTGAACCCGCATAAACGGGTTCAGGAGCAGTCAACCACCCCGAACGAGACTCTGTCCTTCGGCGGAGCCTTGTCCGGGTTCCTCTCCGCCCGAGAGAAGAGAGTTAGACTGTTACTTAGCAAATATTTTTGCCAAGTTTATATTTTTGCTATTTTATTCAAGTGAATGCAACCAACCAAACTGGAATTGGAACCCGGCTCCTTGATTAAAAACTCTGAACCGTTTTCCATTACAACATCCAAGTTTAAAACACCTGGTATTCCCAAGCGACCACCCATCTAAGTAGTGACCAGCCTCGACGTGGCTTAACTTCGGTGATCGTACGGGAACAGGTGTTTCAACGTGATATGGCAGCAAACCATAAATATTATAGAGAAGATACAGGATAAGAGTTTGCAATTACTGGACCCCCCACACACATTAACTTTTATAAAATCAGTCCTCCTCTATAGCAGTAAATGCTGGACAACCTCTTCGCAGATGAAGAAAAGACTTGAAGCTTCAGAAATACGGTTCTATGGAAGGATGCTGAGAATAGCATGGAACGAACATATATGAACAACGAATAAGTTTTAGAGGTAATGGTAACAAAAAGGAGACATACTTAATATCAGGAAGAGACATTTGAAATTTCTAGGGCACATAATGAGGAAAGACGGATTGGAAAATTTGATACTCACACGACAGGTGGAATATAAAAGCAATAAATGAAAGCAAAGCATAACTTACCAACCGAACTTGAGAAAATAGATGACAGAAGTTTTTGAACAAGATTTTGACAAAGGATCTTCCGAACAAATGAAATTGGAAGTAATAGTATTAAAAAAAAAATCATAAACAGAGAATACGTGTGAATATATTTTCTAATATCAGCATCATTATTATTATATGATTTATAGGAATAAATAACCGGAAAAATCTCATTGTAATTTCAAACAGTAAAAATAAAAGAAATTTAATGTTCAATAATATCATTCCGGAAAAAGAGAATAAAAATTAGAAAAAAAAAATATGGAGGAAAACATTTATTTAGAGAAGGTTATACTGTTTTATATAAAGACCATAGGAATGAAATATACCGGCATACACAGTTTGTTTGGAACGGATTTAATGAAAGAAACGACGTAGCGGAAATACCAGTGAGTTTTCTTTTAAACTTAAACTTTATTACGAATGTATAATGTCAGCTAACAATGTCGTACGGGTGAGAAACTGAGAAATTAACAAAATTAATTGAAAACAAATTAGAAATACATTAAGATCAATAGAAAGGTTAAGGCGATGAATAATTCTAATAGATAGAAAGAGGCCAAGCTGGATCAGACAAAAGACCAACATAAAAGAAACCAGAGAAATAATTACACGTCAAAATAGATGAGGTTGGGTGGGTTAGTTTTATGACATTTCAGCTATGCTAATTTAATGAGAAAAAAACATTTATTAATTATTATTATTATTATTATTATTATTATTATAATTTGAATCTATAAGAACTTACTTTGTTTGAGCATAGGTAGAAATAGGTCAGTAAAATTTCAGTCGATAATAACTTGGTTCACTGAGAAATAAATATTGGCTAATTATATTTGAGTTTGTAAGCATTATTCTATCGAATTTTTATGCATTGACTATCTTACTTTACGCCGACAGGTGACTATTAGTGACAACCCTTTATTAGATCTCGTAGACTGGCATTGTAAAATCACAAAGAACATTAGTAAAAAAACAGAATCGGCATCACTTAAAGACCTTAAACAGCAGCAATAACTAAAATGGATAGCACATGCCACTCGAAGAGGACATAATAATCAAGATGTTGGCATTACACAATGTCTTAAACAAATGTTAGGAAGAGAACTCCCATCGATATTAGAAAAACTGATAACATCTAGTAGATTTGAGAAACCCATTTTCTGGGACGCTCTTTTAAGAGAAAAATTTTATAAATTTCTAACAACACTAAAGCTTATTGTTGAAACTTGACTAATGCATGGAATAATAATGCAACACAAAATGTACTTAGAACAAAATGTATTGAAACAAGAAAGTGTACACAATATTTATATATAGTCTTTTGTATATTCCTGGAGAATGTGTTGACTGAGTCGCAGTCGGGCAGAGTCTCTGGTTGAATCTCTTGATTCCTCCCTTTCTTCCCGGTACCAACCATATTTATATGGTCGGTACTCCACTATGCAAATTAGGTGGATCCTACCACAACACTAATTGTTCTCGAATGTCAAATGATTTTCTTTATAAGGAGCAGATTAATCTCAACGATTAATATATATGAATATATAAGAATGTTGTTCGGAGGTGTGTAAATATTCGTCAGTTATATTTGAAGCTTGAAGAATTTGGTTCTGAGATCTGTAAATAATGGTCAAATATAGTTGAGACTTTAAGTAATTCCTTTTAGGTGGCTCTTTTTGGCAAGGATCTTACCCTTCTGCAAGTGAAGCTGAATATGTATTATAGTCTTCTCCGACAAAGCAGTGTAAAATGGAGGTGGTTAAGCAAAGTATACCAAACGGAAGAAACGTTTAATGGGGATCAGTACTTATCGAAAGCAACACGATAAGGCAGAAAATAAGGAGATTAGATACAGGGTTTTAATAGTAAGAAACGGATGAGATTAAGACATTCATGAAATGGCTGCTACTGCTGATTCTACATATATCTTCATACAATTCCTCATCATTAATGTACCGTATTCCTTCAAGAAGTGATTTAATATGTATCTCTACAAATTGTTATTCATTGTAGCGTGAAGAAATATTTGGCTCATCACCACCGCTTTTACCTAAGCTATAACTTCTATTCGTTCATCAGGTAGGTTACTCGATACATCCCTTTACCTCCCCTAAAACAAGTATGTTTTGTAAGTGTAAAATTTTCCAAGATAGTATTCATTATTAAATATTCGAGAAAGCTGATATGTCTACAATGGGAGACATTTATCTACGCAACGAACTTAGATAATAGAAGGTTTTGAGAAATAGTTTTTCTCATAATTTCAAAAAATAAATTCTGATCATGCATGTTGGCTTGGGAAAGGTGTATTTCTTTTAAGAAAAGAGATAATTAAATATATTCACAGCATAAGTTAACAGTTTGGAAAGAATCGATATCTACACTCTTAATAAATTTCTGTTTAAGTAAATAGATATCAGAATAGAGAATTTGGGGAATAGTGAAACGACAGTTATTTCTAAGAGCTACAAATTATAGGAATTTGTGGAGAGATATGATCGACACGTCAAGAAGAAGAAGAAGAAGAAGAAATGGAGGAGAAAGAAGATGGAAAGAGACCCAGAAAGAAGAAGAAGAAGAAGAAGAAGAAGAAGAAATGGAGGTGAAAGAAGATGGAAAGAAGAAGAAGAAGAAGAAATGGAGGAGAAAGAAGATGGAAAGAGACCCAGAAAGAAGAAGAAGAAGAAGAAGAAGAAGAAGAAGAAATGGAGGAGAAAGAAGATGGAAAGAGACCAAGAAAGAAGAAGAAGAAGAAGAAGAAGAAGAAGAAGAAATGGAGGAGAAAGAAGATGGAAAGAGACCCAGAAAGAAGAAGAAGAAGAAGAAGAAGAAGAAGAAATGGAGGAGGAAGAAGATGGAAAGAGACCCAGAAAGAAGAAGAAGAAGAAGAAGAAGAAGAAGAAGAAGAAGAAGAAGAAATGGAGGTGAAAGAAGATGGAAAGAAGAAGAAGAAGAAGAAATGGAGGAGAAAGAAGATGGAAAGAGACCCAGAAAGAAGAAGAAGAAGAAGAAGAAATGGAGGAGAAAGAAGATGGAAAGAGACCCATAAAGAAGAAGAAGAAGAAGAAGAAGAAGAAGAAGAAGAAATGGAGGAGAAAGAAGATGGAAAGAGACCCAGAAAGAAGAAGAAGAAGAAGAAGAAGAAGAAGAAGAAGAAGAAGAAATGGAGGTGAAGGAAGATGGAAAGAAGAAGAAGAAGAAGAAATGGAGGAGAAAGAAGATGGAAAGAGACCCAGAAAGAAGAAGAAGAAGAAGAAGAAGAAGAAGAAATGGAGGAGAAAGAAGATGGAAAGAGACCCAGAAAAAGAAGAAGAAGAAGAAGAAGAAGAAGAAGAAGAAGAAGAAGAAGAAGAAGAAGAAGAAGAAATGGAGGGAAAGAAGATGGAAAGAAGAAGAAGAAGAAGAAATGGAGGAGAAAGAAGATGGAAAGAGACCCAGAAAGAAGAAGAAGAAGAAGAAGAAGAAGAAGAAGAAGAAGAAGAAGAAGAAGAAGAAATGGAGGAGAAAGAAGATGGAAAGAGACCCAGAAAGAAGAAGAAGAAGAAGAAGAAGAAGAAGAAAAAGAAGAAGAAGAAGAAGAAGAAGAAATGGAGGAGAAAGAAGATGGAAAGAGACCCAGAAAGAAGAAGAAGAAGAAGAAGAAGAAGAAGAAGAAGAAGAAGAAGAAGAAGAAGAAGAAGAAATATTGAGCGCCAAAGTGACAATGGCAAAACACCGAGTAAACTACTTAATAAGCTTGTGTAAATAGATGTCAGAACGGGGACGAGGAGATATATTTATAATATAAATATTAATAACTATGAAGCATGGGAAGTTGCATAGAAGGGACAGAGCATATAATCTTTCCCATTTCGATTTTCTTGAAAACGCCCTCCCTGTTTCATATATTGGAGAAAGGTATTGTCAGCACCCACCCATAGAAACACACCATCGAAACTCTTCTGCCTCTGTGAGGATATTGTGCAGCATTCATTGCCGTATAGCAGTATGGATATTACGTAGTAAGTCTCAGTTTTTATTTGTTTCTAACGAAAATGGAAGTAATTTGAACTCAAAATATTCTGGCTATTTACCAATTCAAGAATGCGTGTAATTAGTAGAACTAATCCCTGATTGCATTCTAAAAACTTATCTGAATACTCTATTCAGTAGTCTTCTTTTTTAATGTACTTTCAAGACATGCGCAGTCCTGCCCCCCCACCAAATTGTAGTTTTAGTAAAGGTTGACTCTTTACCATCCGTCTTTACCTACACTTTACCAATTACAGAGTGTCTCTAAAATACGTACTCACTATTTTAATGGAAATTAATTCCTTGATTATTTACTTGCAAACAAGATTTTTGGTTAAGATTAAGAGGTATTAATTGTTATTTACTTATGACGATAATTAAAGTTTAAATTAAATATTAAATGAAATCAAATTAAATGTATGTTTATAAATATCCAAACTGGCTGCTACTTTTTTAATAAGTTATAGGAAGTAAAAAAAAATAGTACATTTATGGGATACGCTATATTTACACAAAGTAGATAGGTTTTTCAACTTTTATGACAGTCTCTTCCTAATTCTGTATATTGTGTGAATTTTAAATTTATCAATAC